GATATGCTGAAATGTATCCTCAACGGCAGCATCCTTCACATAGAATATTTGCTCGACTTCATCAATGATCACGAGAATATGGTTCATCCGGCAAAAGAACGTAGGATTGTGGTCGCCATCGAGAAGTACGAACACCACAGATTGAGGAAGCAGTACTTGATTTAGTTGAAGAACAACCTACTACCAGTAGAAAGATTGCTTTCCAGCTAAATGTTGATCATATGACGGTATTTAGAATTTTAAAGGAACAACTCTTATACCCTTACCATCTGCAACGAGTACAGGCACTGTTACCGCGAGACTTTCCGAACTGTCTTGAATTTTGCGAGTGGATGCTGGAAATGATTAGAAGAAATTGTGACATTCTGAAGACGATATAATTCACAGATGAATGTAGTTTTTCTCGGGACAAGATTATTAATTTTCATAATTACCACATAGGGGCTGATGAAAATCCTCACGCTATTGTCGAAACTAACCAGCAAGAACAGTTTTCTCTTAATTGGTTGCTCGGAGTTATTGGGGATGATTTAATTGGGCCTCATTTTCTACCTCCTCGAATAAATGGTGAGGCATACGTTCAATTTTTAAGAGAAGTGCATCCAGTACTTCTGGAGGAAGTTCCTTTGTGCGTCAGAAGGGATATGTTTTTCATGCATGATGGGGCTCCCGCCCATTTTAGTCAAGTAGCACGTCAGCATTTAACTGAAACATATGCAAATCAGTGGATAGGTCGAGGAGGACCACAGAACTGGCCCGCTCGATCCCCGGATCTCAATCCTCTCGATTTCTCTATTTGGAGCCATTTACAGCATTTGGTTTATCGCACTCCTGTTCGCGATGTAGATGACTTGTAACTCTTTCAGTGCTTGTGAAAAAAATTGTTATACAAATTTTATGTACCCCCTTCAAGGGGATGTATCTTAACAAAGGATGATCCAATAAAGTTTCTTTATATGAAAAATCCAATATTTTTTTCGATGAGGAATCACCTCCTTAAATGTTTTACACTTATTCAGTTACACCCGGTATATTTCTAAAGATTTGTCCGTTTACATGAGTTCATTTCAAACTATTCATATATTTAGGTCAATACTTATTCCATTTGATCGAAATAAGCGTCATTTGAATCAGTGCACTTTTGCCAACGTATCACATGTCGATTAATTCCGTCAGTATGAAGATTGTGTGATCGGGACTCGATAAAGTCGACGAAGGTCGTTTTTATCTGGTCCTGACTGGCGAAGGTTCTACCGGAGAGAAAGTTATCGAACTGTTTGAAAAGATGGTAGTCAGTTGGCGAGAGATCTGGGGAGCGAGGCAGAACTTTGACGCACCATTCATCTAATTTTTGGCCGGTAATTTGTGGAACGTGCAGACTAGCGTTGTCGTGGAGCATTATCGGACCTCTTTTGTTAATCAGTGCCGGCTGTTAACCAGTGAATCACAACCACCATACAGTAAACATCATTGTCGTCAACGTCTCCTCTTGTGATACAGCATCCACTTTCCATCCCACGTGGCGTTTCGATCCAGAAAAGGGTTGTATTGGTTGCGCAAAAGCAGAGAAGAACACACTTTGAAACGTGATAATGTCTGTCGATCATTCAAAAACTGAATGGAATCTGACGCCCAGTTCTTCCGACATCCACGCACCATTTGTGATGGGTTAGTCTCCAACAGGATCTTTAAATCCTCGTCCTAGATTACTGTAGGTCGACCACTTCGAGGCTTATTTTCGAGGCAAAAATCTCCGGAACGATATTTCGCAAACCAACGTCGTACAGTGCGTTCATTAACACTATCATTGCCAAATGCCCGATTAATTTTCCGGGCTGTATCGACAGCACTCGACTTTCGAAAATTACATAAAAAATCCTCAGAGTGTTTTAATTTGTACCAAAGTAAAAATGTTACGTTGGAATTATATTGCTATAGAATATATTGATTTGGGAAAATTATCGCATTTAGTTCAATCCACAGAAATACTGTTCGAAATATTCAAATAATATATCATAATTACATGAGTTATCATTTCATATGAAAGTATAACTCAGTTGATGATTAAATGTGTGCCAGAAATTATTTATTTATAGCTTATCTTTTCTGTGTAGTACTGTAAAATATTGAATTGACTAGCAGACCCGGCGAACGTCGTTCTGCCTAAGAGTCAAAGAATGAGCAACTTTAGGATTTTAAAACTGATACAAAATTATTAAGTATTGAGTTATCAAGTTCTTTATCATTATTATTATTAGCTTTATGGATGAAATATTATTTTTCAATACTTATAATCCTATTCCCGAAGAAGACAAAGTCAAAAACACAAAAATCATAAAAATTGATCCAGACATCCTCGAGTTCTGTCATTATTATTATTTAAACTACATGATAAATTATGAAAATATTATTGGACTATTTTTGTAGACGTATCGATTAGTACCAGACTCGTACGAGAATATGAAGAATTACCAAGAGAACTTACAAACTGAAAGTATTCTGGAAAAGTATTAATAAGCGGTCATTGGATAATATTCATAAATATTCTGTGATTTCTTTCAACAGAGAAACAGTTAGGAATCCGTGTTATTCAATGGAAACATCATGTAGTTATTTGTGGAAGATTCAAGATTAATTGGATATGGCGCTCGGATATGCGACAATAATAATAGCTTTGACCTGAAAACAAAACAAATAGTGAAATATTAGATTGGTTTGCCTACTTGACGTTACCACAAATTATTCCCCCAAACTTTTCTTTTTTATAAATAATGTCGGTACAAGTTTGAAGTGATTCATCATCCTAAATTACTCAATGAACTTTTAATGACTTAATCGTTGAGGTTTATGTTGAAACAATTGGAGTAATTACAGTGAATCACTGTTTTTCGGAGAATTATTGTTCATAATCGGCATTTTATACAAATTATCATAATGTTACTTGAGTTTGCCGTGACAACCGTTTTAAACTTTTAGAATATGACAATTTTCTATTCTAATTAGTAATTATTACTCATTTTACAGATCATATTATGATTTATCGTTTTCAAGTGATCATTCGAGTGAACGAGATGATCACAATTCTTTTAACCAGTTGGAAACCGTTTAGCAAAAGCCGCGGAGACTGTAGAGCTTATAGTCGTTTTTGCTATCAGCATGTGCAGCATATATCTTCCCAGTCTATTTTTGTGGGAATAAAGTGCCCTTTCGATACTATGAGGGGTATTGAATAAGTTTTGAGAATGAGAATTATCCATTCTTCACTTTCATACAGATACAAGCTGATAGCTCGATGTAGATTTCTCAAGCATCGAAGAAAGATTACGTATATTCGCTGTTTTCAGCTCCAGGTGAGACGATATCTGAAAAACTGATTGCAGGAAATATCGTGTTGCCTTACCTAACCCTATAAACTCCTTTCAAACCACTCTGTTGAAATAGATGCTATGAGTTTTGGAACCTCAAGATCATACCCCCTTGAAAGAATTCTTAAATAAGCTGTCATATTTGGTTCATTCAAGTTTTTGAGAAATTGAGTCATGGTGTCAATTATGGAGTAGATCCACCTAAAAGCGTGTTTTTTTTAATGGTAAGGATCATAGTTGACAATTTTAGAGAGAAATGAGCGAGTCCAAATTCTGCTGATGTCACCACGCCATGTATATCTGTTCTGTTTGAAATATGTTTTTTCCGTTAATCAGCTGTCGCCCTCATACGAACGACAACTCTCACAAGTTGATAAACTTGTGCGAGCTAAGGACTAACGAGGTCTTACCTTTTAACGTGTAATTCTTAACACGGTTGCAAAATCATCCCAGCTTCAACCAGATAAATTCTCCTGAGAAAAATATCTGGTCGAGGCAGGAATCGAACCTACGGTCTTCCGATCGTGAGTCGGGCACACTACCGTCGCGTCCAGTTGAACATGAAGGGATACAGAGCCAGACATCTCTCTGTATCTGTAGAGCAGAAAGGGTGAGTGTAAACCCACAGCAATTAGCTATTGTACATCCTTTCGAGGAGTTGTTAGGTCATCGTCCATCCTTTCCAGGAAGGTGGACAGGTCACTAGGAGACATCTCCTTTATATCAGCAAGACTCGTCGAACACCCACTCTCTTTGGCAACTTAAGATCTCTTTCAGCGGTCTCCGCGAAGGTTTTGAAAGGTGCAGCGACATTACTGTCATTGCGCGGCTTCTTCAATCTTCTTGGGGTTCCCTTCGCGGAGGTGTTCAAGTGAGCACATTTTACTGCAGGGGCAGCCGGTTCCTTGCCTTTCATGGCGGAGCTCTCTTTCTCTTTTTGACCTCGGCGCCGCAACTGCGCTTACGCCTTGGCTTTGTATTACATCACGAGGTGATCTGCTATGTCCAGCCTCATTCCGACATTTCTGTTCATCCCCAGCCACCGCCTTAGATTTAGGTGAGTACTTCTGTCCAGCCTCGGGGTTGGTTTTTGTTTTTGTTGTTTCTGTTTTTGTGTTTGTTTCATTCATGTGTGTTCCTACGAGTAGCAAGGGAAGAGTTGGTCACCTCTGGCAGAGCTCGGCATTACCAGAGGTAGGCTGATTACAATGAGGTTTCTCCCAGTTCCCCAAGGGGATCGTTCGTAACCACATATCATCCTGTGGTCATTCAGCTGTCGGTACGATTCCTTACACCTCAGCTTGGGTAGGCTGGTCCACGGTGGCATGTCTAGCAAAAGCTTTTGGAGTGTTATTTCTGCCACTGAGTCCAGCGATCCCGTCCGTAAGGTCACATTTGCTTCCCGGATAGAGCCCCGAATCCCCTGGCCGTTTCCTTATCCACCACCTAGGGACGCACCCGAAAGGTACCCCAACCCACGGGAGTGTGAATGCATTTTGACCATTTCAAAAATTTGACCACCACCTCAACTATACTTCAAATTCCGAAGTCAACATGAGTTATCTGAATAACGGTTCACCAAATCAATCAAATTCCATTTGTTCTAGTGTTTTTTGAAGATATTTTCTCTTTCAGTTACAGGATGGTTCTAGTACTGAACGGAGTCTTGCAAGAGGACTGTCCACATGACACAACTTCTCTCTATCACACCCACCCAGTCTACAGGGAAACAGCAGCTCAATTACTAGCTGTTCCCAACAAAATAATCGGACCTGTCGGCCTACTTTACGTTCAACAGAGAGAATTGGCTGCAACCGTTCCTCATGACAGTGAGTAGTTTTTCAAATTGGCATTATTAGTTTACTCACCGGAATTTATTTTTAGAAAATGTTAGCATTCTGGGAGCGGACGATGTCACCACCTGCTTGATTGTTGTCGTGCGTCACTCTGGTGAGTAGAATGATAATATTTTCGAATTGTATCAACTGATCTGACTAGAAAGTCAAAGGCTCTGCGGCTTATTTGCAAACAAACGAGTAATCTTGCGACTGAAACATCAAATTCAGAACATTTTCAGAGGAATCTGAACATATAATTATGAATACGAAATTCACTTAACATCTGTTTCTCTGTACTGGTAAGTCCTAGGAAGCTGAAATTTGGTATATGAATGCTTTGTAAGTCTTTAATGCGACGTAAGAAAGGATTTTCGAATATTCCAACTGGAGCTCCCACACTGGTGATGAAAGGGGCGCATTTACATATGAAAATTCCTTTTTCGTCAGTGGTTCTCTGTACCTCTTTATTTTCGGAGGATGAATTTTGTACGTAGTTTCATTTTATGTTGAATATGTGCAATAGGGATTTTTAAATATTCCAACTGGGGATGAAGGGGGCCGAGTTTACACATGAAAATCACCTTTTCATCATTATTTCTCCCTACCGCTATATTTTTGAAGGCTGAAATTTTGTATGTACGTTCGATGTATGTTGTAGATGCGCAACGAGAAAGGAATTTTGAATATTACACCTGGGGCACCAGCCGCAGGGGAAAAAGGGGCGTTCACAAAATAAAGTTACCTTTTCTGTTTTTCCATACCGCTATATTTTCGAAGGATGAAATTTTGTATGTACTTTCAATTTATGTTGAAGATGCGCAATAAGAAAGGATTTTTAAATATTCCAACTGGGGATGAAAAGGGAGAGTTTGCTTGTGAGAATTACCTTTTCATCACTGTTTCTTCGTACCGTTATATTTTCGGAGGCTGAAATTTTGTATGTAGGTTCGTTTTTATGTTGCTGATGTTTAATAAGATAGAATTTTTAAATATTCCACCTGGGGCGTCAACCGCGGGGAAAACGGCGTGTTCATGATATAAAGTTACAAATTCATCACCGTTTCTCCGTACCGCTATATTTTCGGAAGCTGAAATTTTCTATGTAGGTTTGTATTATATTGTAGGTGTGCAATAAGAAAGGACTTTCAAATATTCCAAATGGGATGCCAGCCGCGGGGCTGAAGCCCACACTGGGGATGAAAAAGGAGAGTTTACTAAATTGATGGATGTAGCCGTTACTACGTGGTAGGAGATCATATAAAAAATAGGAATGAAAATTTCTATGTTTTTTACCACTTTTATTTGTAACTGACGTTACTGCAGTTTCGTCCTATATGGATTTTCTCAAACTTATACAATAAGCTAACCATCATTCATTACATTCGCCAATATATACCATTTAGGTACTTGATTGAATACCTGTATTTACAGTTCAATCTGCGGATATGCCAATTTAAAAACCGGAGAGTAAATTAAATCGATTTGGTCATTTAACAGGTTACACCCGCAATGTTTATGCTTGTGAATTTCCGAGTATTCTAAATAATTGAGATTGCAACCCTTCCTTGCATAATGCAGAATTTCCGTATCGTTTAGATTCGGAAGCTTGTGGTTGCATGCCAAGAAATGTTTGAAAACGTCGAATCGTTTTTTCCTAGTCTGAAGGACCTTTCATGTTCAGCATACCGTTTTTGGAAATTTTGTCCGCATTGTCCCGCACAAACACTATTACAATCCGGACACTTGAGCTTATAAACTACAGATTTTTCCAACTTGTCGACCTTATCTTTGGTATTGAAAAGGAAATGAGATAACCTGGCATATGGTCTGAATGCTACCTCCACATTGTTTTTTCTGAAGAAACCTGCGATTATTTATGTTCTTTTTCCAAAATATGTTAGCGTTACCCATTTCTTGATTTCTGGTTGTTTGACCTGAGGATATATTAATCTGTAAGTGAATTTCCGGCTTTGTTTCCTGACTAACTTCTGGATAGTATCTGCGTTTGAACCATTATTATGACCTATCTGTGTAATTGTATCAATTTCCCTGGCTAGATTATCTGCAGACAAAGGCAGTGAGAATGCTCTGAGCAACATTGAATTTTAGGCTGCTAATTTATGACTGTGAGGACGGAAAGAATCGCTTGGGATGGTGATGTCTGTATAGCTAGGTTTTCTGAAAACATTGAACTCGAATTTATTCTGATTGTGTGTAATGGCCAGGTCTAAGGAATTTATCTGTTCCTCTATCTCTGTTTCGAGTGTGAACTGAATGTTGCTATTGGGATTGTTCATGAATGTCATAAATTGGTTCAGCTGTCGTGTAGTACCTCTGAAACAGTACAAGAATATCGTCTACATATCTGTACCGAAAATGAATATGTTTTTTACCCAGGTCGGAGTTTAGTATAGTGGCCTCCAAGTTGTTCATAAATATGTCTGCTAAAAGTGGACTAAGGGATGAGCCCATTAATAAACCTGCATTCTGTTTATAGAATTTGTTGTTGAACTGTAGGTAGCTCTGATTCAGGCACACATGTCTAAAATGAGGGGCTTACACTCGTTGTACGGTATGTTGGAGAACATACTCCTTGCATCGAATGAAACTAAAATTGAATTATGTGGCGTGGTTTGGTTCCTTATGTTTTCTAATAAAGTCAGTGAATTTTTAATGCTGTGAGGTGGGACGAAAATGGAGAGTTTACTTATGAAAATTACCTTTTTATCACTGTTCCTCTGTACCGCTATATTTTCGGAGGCTGAAATTTCATATGTAGGTTCGTTTTATATTGTAGAAGTGCATAAAAATGGATTTTCAAATATTCCAAATGGGACGCCAGCCGCGGGGAAAAATGGCGTGTAATATTTTCAGTAATATACATATACTTGCATACTTCAATGTTCATGTAAAACCAGTTGTTTCGAAAGTATATTTCTTTCGTATAATCCAATGTTTGTATGAAAGTAGTTGTATTGTGCCTTTTTGTGCCTTTTTTCCAGATTGTGTCTGAAAGTTTCTTCTTTGCAAAAAGATGGAGAAGTAGAAAGCCAAAGTATTTCTTCATCAAAAATAAATCTCTCCCAATGCCTTTTCCAATGTGAACAACTTCCTTTTTTATCATTTCAAAAATGTGGTTGTTTTTTCTTGGATCTGCCATAGGCCATAGTCATTTGACTTCTCTATGTTATTATTTCCTTTTGTGTTTTACAATTCTGCTTCTTGGTAATCTAGTTCATCTGCGGCATTTCCTATATATAGTATACTTTGCCTTATCCTCCCATGTTTTTTCATCCTTTTTTTATTAACTCAAATACTCATTGCAAAAATGTGAATTGTATTAAATTGATAAAGATCAGACAGCTCTGGTATCTTGGTAAAATATTTTGTGATTTCGTTCTAGTTCTAGTTATCTGAATAAAAATGGATAAGGTTGACAATTTTTGAGTTATATTTAAACTTATCGCCAATTAAAATAGTATATTGTTCAATAAGTGGAGAAAGTCATCTATTCCACACGATGTTTAGAAATTGTGGCATGTACGAATACAAGTGCCGATGCACGAGTAGCACACTATACTTTTTATATGCACCGGGAAAAATGATTGAAATTTACCTCGGAATTTTCATTTCGAACGAAGAAAATTACTTCAGNGGGACCTTCTTACAACGGAATATCCCAAGGTAATATAACCCGTAAATGAAAAATTACACCGTAAAATTTTATCAGAGTATTGAATTCCACTGTGAAATTATATGAGAGTGTAAAATTCTACTGTAAAATTCTGTCAAGAGTGTAATATCTCGATATAAATTTATATCGCAAATTGACCCTATAAAGTTTTATTTCAACACAAAAGTACACTCAAAATGAAAAATTACACTGAAAAATTCCACACTTGTCTTCGGGGTTGAATTACAAAATAATATTCCGCATGGAATGTGAGATCACACACGAAAGTAATTTCTCGCTAATATGGGCGGTAATTAAATTGCCACCGGTACCGGTGTAAAATTTTTTACCAGTGTGATCCAATCAAAACTACATATTTCACAACTAAATAACTAATTGTGACCTAAAAAATGTATGTTAACATTATTGCAGTTATCGATATCAATAACAGGTACAATATCTTGAATTTCATCTTCTATTTTTTTTGAAATATATATTCCACTAGAAGATGCTGTTTTTTTTCAAGAGATTCCAGCTATCATTTGCTGATGACATTTTGCTTGACAGACTGCCGCTTTGATCGATTTCCACCCATCGGCATCCTATCACTTGAGGGTTGTTATGTTTTGCATCACAGTCTGCCATTATCGCGAAGGATGATTGTCGAATACAATGACCTGTTTAATTTTTTTTTGATATATGCAAAAATCAAGCAATTTGCTGTGTCTTGTTACCAAATGTGTTTATTTCAACACAATCACTGTACGTTTCTCCTTCTGGTGATTTCTGAATAATAACAACTATGATAATCAACTTCATTGAAGAGAACTCACGAGAGATTCACAAATAATTTTTCGCAAATTCGTGTTCAATATGAATCTATCTCTATATAATGTTTTGAGCGAGAGAAACATTCTCTTAAAAACTTTGTTAACGTGACTACTGAATGTGATATCATTATCGAATGTTAAAACTAAATTTATCGTTACTTCAACCATTGTTAGCTGTGTACCATTTATGGAAATAGATTTCGGAAGAAAAAAATACCATTAGTTTGGATTTCACTGAAGTATGTTTCAAATTCTGCGAAGCACTCAAGCAAAAAACTTTATTGAGGTCCCAGTCGATATCATTTTGAGTTTAGATTAGGTTATCTCTAGGAAAGCTGAGTATGAACTGAGTATTTTCCTCATATGCCTGACGTTGTAGATTTCAATATATCTGCTGTATTATAAAAAACAGGGGACCTAAAATACTTTTCTGGGGTACACATAGTTATGAGATACATGTGGTCAGCGAGATTTTTTTTATTTTCATTATATTTACTAAAACAGACGAGTCAATGTCCTGGATATCACACTTTCTAATTTTTTTAGCTACTCTACTTGTGTCAAACTTGTGTCAAGCACACTTTCTATAGATGCGGATGATAATTAGAA